TGGCTTTAGGACTTTAAATATTATTTTGTTTCTCCTCTTTCTAGAAAATAGGAAGCAAGTAATAGAAGGCTGCCCAGGAATTCTTGCTATGACTATAATTTTAAGCATTTTTCTTAGTTATGGAAATATTAAATACCTAGCTGATACTGGGTGCTCCGTGTTTAAAATATTAGAGACGTGCCCTGTTCTTGCTTGCTTGGCCGGGATAGCCTTGCAGGTCTGCGTGGGTCATGTGGGTCACTTGGAGGAAAGAGGGAGAGCAGGCCAGGGGAACTTTGCTCCCTCTCCTCTACCCGACCTGCCTGCCTGGCTTGGCAGTTGGGCTTCTGTATAAGGATTTGTGGGAAGAAATGTGTTCTGCACGTTGAATGGCAAATTTAAAAACTATTCATTTAAAGTATGATATATAATAGGAGATATCAATGTCATGCTGATCGTGATAGAATATAAATATTTTGAATGAAAAGATACAAAGCCTGTTTGTAAATCCTGAAGAGCGTTTAAGCTTACTTATTTTGAATGTTTTTATGGTATCAGACCATGTGGATTAAGCCAGAGAAATATGAAGCTATTATGTGGATACTTGTGTGACTGTTTTGAGAGGAAATCTGGGCGTTTCTGGGGACTTTTGGGTTCTTTCATGTAGTTTGCTTTTAGCCTTTGGCTGTCTCTTCCTTGATCACCATTATTTGTCATAGTTTTCCCAGTGAACATGGGAAAGAGAGAAGGAAACCAATGATTTTTCTAAGATTATTACTCAGTTGGGGGAGGAAGAAGGAGATTAGTAGGTGTTGGGGGTTGTGCAGTTTTTGAGGACATTGTTTAACATGGAATTGAGTGAGTTAGGAGAGGGGGAAATAGGACGGGGCTGGGGCGCGAGGGAATATTGGATGATAGATGACCTCCCTGTGGAGGGAAGAGACCCTGGGTTAGTCTTCTCCCAGGACCACCAGGTGGTGCTTTTGGCCTAGACTCCCCCGGGATCCTGGCATGCTGTTTCAGAATCAGCATTATAGGGGCCGGTAGGGGGAGGCAGGCAGGGATATGTACCTTGTAGGTGCCTGCATTTAACATCATCTCATACGAAACACCCAGTTAAAATCCGTGGTATTTCAGGCTCTTTTGTGACTGGTGCACCTGCCTTTATTTTATTCGTTTGTTTTTAGTTGTGTTTTAATGTTGATCTGCTTAATGTATTTCTCCTCTGAGCATTTCTTCCAGCCTTGAATCTAGAACATGAGAAATAAATGCTGAAGTTTTCAGCAGTGGTGCCTAATTAAGATTTTACCATTAAAAGAACTCTTATTTTTGATATATCTTAGCCCATAGTGCACTAAGAAAGTGATCACAAGTAGCTGAAACCATTGCTTAGGCACCACTGGTACTTGGGGCCTCTTTTGGTTGAAAGATGAGGTTGAATGAAGGAACTCTGATTATAGACCGGAATAACTTATTCAAATTATTTCAAGGAAAAAAAAAGAGCATTATTTGTATTGAGCAGGAAGTGTAAGCCACCAGGAGCTGAAGCATGAAGCAGCTTCTGTCTGTGTTCTTTTAGGCTGAAAGGTCTCTACGATGGTGACTCACTCTGCTGTCTCAGGTCCTGTGTTCCTCTTTGCAACAGCTGCTTTTTCTCAGCTTACTGGTCGTTTCTGCTTCCTCTGTTGTTCTGTTGCCTTTGGTCACCACTGCCTAGTAAGCTCTTTACCTTAGGATGTTTTCTCTTTAACTCCCATTAAAAATGGACTCTCGTTTTTATCCTAGTTCACATTCCTTAGAGAAGACTGGTTGAGTAAATTCTATTAACGTATTAGGTAGGAAGCTTTCCAGCTACGGAAAAGGCTAAGGTAGATCTGTTGATGTATTGGAGCCAGACTGAACTGTCTGTTCCATGAAGGCATGTTGTAGTTTGGCAATTAGCCGCCGCGGTGGGAGAAGAAGTGGCATGGAGGTTCGGAGGTGCCACCACCGGGGCTTGGAGCCCCTGCTTCCTCCCTGTAAGAATGGGTCGCTAAGCCTTTATCGGCACACCACTGGGTAGGTCTGCAGATGTGGATATGCACAAGCTCCAAGATGCACTGTTAAATGAAAAAGAGTGAGGTGTAGAGCTATTTATAGAACAGTTCTAGTTTCTCACTAGAAAAGGGAGACTGAAATCCGTGTGTGCATGCATGCATGTAGATTCTTGTATAGTGTGGACAATGTGTTTTGCAGGTATTGGTGGCTGCTTTTAGGAAGGGCATTTAGGTTTGGAGTGTGGTGTGTGTGTGTGCAGATCAGAGTTCGGTTTTGGACACTTTGTAGTTGATTATGAACACCAAAAGCCAATAAAATTCTTATATAATCAGAATAATGTCAGTATCGTATAATCAAAATAGTGTCAGTGTCATTTATCTAAGTCTCGAATATTATGAGGTATGTAAAAATAAGTATAATAATCCTAATGTTGAAAGTGTCAAGATCACATGGATTCATTTCTCCTACATGCCATGTGTGTACAAATGGCCTTTGTACATTTCTTCACGTTTGCCTGTGGCTTTATCACTTTCTGCTTTGCTAGTTCTGAGATTTCAAACAGTCCTCTCGCCCTCTTTTTGGAGTCTTTTCTGTGTAAGCTTTTACTGTGTCACTGATAAAATCTATTTTCTTCCTGAAGACACCTTGTATTCCCTATTCTAATGTAGGCTGGCTGCTCTCTAGGCAGCTACACATTTGGCATCTGGAAATGTCTAATTTTAGCCTTCTGAGATTTCATGGATCCCGTGTCTGCCTTCTTTTTTATTCTGTTACAGAAAAATTATTCTGGCTCTTGTTAAAACAGCAAAGACGTTGTACACGAGAATTGCAGTTGGGGTCAAGACTGTCGGCAGTAGGGGAGAGAGATCAGGCTCCACTCCAAACACAGGAAGGACAGGTGGAGTTCATAGCCACCAGGCAGACTGAAGGTTTCAGTGCATGGCGGGGAGGGGGTGGTCCTTGCTACGCTGACTGAACAGGATTCTGGATAAAGGCACGCCAGGGTGACTAGCTATCAGGGTGCGGGGGCACTCTTGCTAAACTGACTTAGCAGGATTCTTGCTGCGGCTGGGCTGGGCTAGGCCAGGCTAGGCAGGCCGAAGATAGGACAAGGCTAGGAGGAGCCTGACTGAAGTTTGGAAAAGGAGAGAGTCTTTGTCAGTTCTTTTTATTGTTGTTTCGTTTTTCTGTAGTGTATTCTCATATTCTTTTTAAAAGAAACATTGGGTAGGCAGTGAACTTTGAATCATGTATTGGTTTTCTGTCCCTGCTGTAACGAATTCCACAAACTTAGTGGCTTAAAACAACATAGATTTATTCTTTTATATTTCTGGAGGCCAGAGTCTGAGCTCAGTTTCACTGGACCATAGTCAACGTGTCAGCTTAGTTGGTTCCTTCTGGAGCCGTTTCTTAGCCAGTTCTGACTTCTGGAGACCACCTTTGTTCTTTGCCTGCCAACCCCTTCCTTCCTCACAAGCGCTCCAACCTCTTCCATCGTCATACTTTCTTGTTTCCCTTCTATAAGGTCTCTTATGGGGTGCCTGGGTGGCTCAGTCGGTTAATAAGCGTCCAACTTCGGCTCAGGTCATGATCTCACGATTCGTGAGTTCTAGCCCCACATTGGGCTCTGTGCTGACAGCTCAGAGCTTAGGGACTGCTTCAGATTCTGTCTGTCTGTCTCTCTCTCTCTCTGCCCCTTCCCAACTCCCACTCCATCTGTCTCAAAAATAAATAAACATTAAACAATTTTATAAGGTGCTTTATGATTCCGTTGGGCCCATCTGCACGATGCAGGATAATCTCCCCATCTCAGGATCCTAACTTCCTACATCTGCAGATACCTTTGCCATATAAGGTACACTCACAGGCTCCAGAGATGAGGATGTGGACATCTTTTAGGGGTGAGGGTCATTTCTTGAGCTTTAGCAGACCTGATAATAGCTAAAAATGTTTTTATTTTTTCTCCATGCTTCATTGATAGTCGGGCTTGGTGTAGAATTCTAAGTTCATGATCATTTTTTTTTTCTCAGAACTTTGGAAATAGAGTTTCGTTATCTTTTAGCTGGAAAGAAGTTTGATACCAGTCTGATTCTTATTCCTCAGTGTATGACTTGAAATTTTCCCTCTCTCTAAGCTTCTGAGATCTTTCGCTTATATTAAATACTACAAATGGCTTAAAGTGAGTGTAAACTTAATGTGTGAAGTGTCCAGTTAAGTGTGATTAATGTCCGCAAGCATGCCTCCAACATGACTGTTAACGTTTGCAAAGTGGTTTCCAAATTGTAGGTCCCTGAAGAGGAGTAAGAAGGAATAAATGAATAGAAGAGAAAATTTCACAGAGCCGTCCTACAGTAGTTATACACATTGTTCCCTAAAACGTGTTTCACTTGTATATGTGTGGTGTGTTAAAACTTTCCAAAACCTTCCAAAATTTAGCTTGTATTCATTTAGTGTCTGAAATAGAGGCTGACGTTCTCACATTAAAAATTATGTTAAGAATGAAATGTGTTTGAGGGGAACATTCCTACCTAGTTTTAGTTTAATGTTTTCAATAACAATTTTCTTTGTTGCTTTATGACAAAATTTAGGGCAAGTAGTAGGCATGTGGTTAACTTTGCAGCAGGAGGTGAAGGCGTGTTCTAAAGCGGCTTGTCTCAAGCCCCTGTTTGTTGTCAGATGGAAATGCCGGGTGTAGGCTGCTGTGGCTCATACTTGGGATCTGGCCTGAAAGACATGTTTTTATCCTCAACAAACATCATCTTTGTTAGAATATCTGGAGTCCGTGTAGCCACAGAAAGGTCTTTTCTTCTCCCTTAGAAACGTTTTCTTTCTTGTGCTTGTTTCACAAATAGTTGAAAGTAGAGCTGCCTTCCACTTTTCTGTTTCAGTTTGTTGCAAGAATGTGTGAGGCACCACCTAACTCGCCTGGTGTGCTTGAGAACTGTAAAATAATAATGAAATCTTGGAGTAGATAAGTTTAATCTATGAGGACTGAAGCCGCCGTTAATTCCCAGGGCCGGACTAACTGTCTAACAAATGGTAAAGTACTTCTTAAGTTGGAATAGGTGATTTGTATATAGTAGTCCTGTCAGAATGTACACTAGGAAGAATGTCCGCTTTGAGGTTTGTTCTACTGGACAAACTGAATTTGAAATTTAATGACTGTGAATGACTTGTTCATTACAACGTGGCGTTAATTGAGTGAGAGATACTCAGCTACATTGCCTGCTTTTAAAAAATGTCTTTCAGGAGGATGCTTGATTCTTAAAAGTTCTTGTGTTTAAAGGGAATTAGAAGGCTTCTGGAAATGTTAGAGTTGTCACTTTTTGAAATGCTTCATAAGATGCGATAGCTGTCATTATCTTCCATAAATTTGTGCCCAGATAGGTTTTACTGTATCCTTGCGTGTTTAATCCAGTGGCTCTCTATTTTTACTGCTTAAAACATGCCTTTTTTCTTTGAAACATTGTTGCCTTAGATGTGAAGTCAATAAAAATAATTTTATTTCATCTGGCTTGAATAATGTAATAGAGGTTTTTTAAATTAAGTAATGACATGTGATGTAGGTGCCGAATAACACAACTGTCATTGTTTGATAGGTGCCTGGAACTTTGTGTACACTTGCACACAGACACAAGGCAGCTGTTGATAACCCTTTGTCTTCAATGTTTTAGGGCAAATTCTTTGTTCTTGCAATGGAATTTCTAAATAAGCTTTCAGAATGAAATCAAAGGGAGGATTCTAGTGCAATTCTTCATAAACTTCTCAACTATAGATCAGACACTATGATACATTAATTTAACTATAGTGAATTCTGCAGAGGGATATTAACTTCCTACTCTAAAGATGGTTACCTCACAATGTGGATTATTAAATAATGTCTTTGCACTCCATGTTGGGAACAATTGGCATTTACATTTAGTCTCTTCTGGGAAGCAGGTTTGGCTATATTTTATAAAATTAGTATGCCTTTAAATTCACACTTTTTTTAGAACACATTTGTCAGCATTACAGAATTTTCTCTCCACAAGGAAATACAAGGACAAGAAAGTTCTAAAGGAATTTAAAGATTTAGAACTTACTTTATTTGATTTAGAGCCAAGTCAACTACTCTAACCATGTTTAAAGTACATGATTTTTCTCTCCTGAAATTAGGATACAATTTCATCCAATTTCAATATGACCTCTATTACGTGGTTAGGTTTTTTCCTTTTTGGAAATCTCTAGACTGGAGATGATCCCTGGAAAGCTTTATATTTTATAATTTGCCACAATGATGCTTTCTTGGGATACTTTGCATCTTTTCAACTCTGTACTGTTTTCAGTTCTTTATACTTTTAAGCCTTTCATTGTTAAGTAGGAAAGACGGTTGAGACTCCTATGACTATAGCAGCAATGAAGGTCTGATATAGAATACATTCAAAGAAAGCACTCATCCATTGAATTTGGCCTGATCACTGTAGATATTCATGCTTTGTTGTTCTGATAATGGAAGTGGAATTTAATAAGTGGTCAACTTTCCTAGTTCGAGTTTAATTTTTTTAAATTTGCTTTCCCTACCCTTTTGGAGAAATGTGAGTGTAATGTTGTAAAACTGGGCAACAGAAGAGGGAAAAGGAATTGACAGAGGTCCCTAAGTCTAGACTAGGGTAATGAATATATAATTGAGTTGATTATCGCAGACTTTTGACTGCATTAGTTCACTGTGAAGATCTAGTCTGCATTTTTGTTATTTTATTGAACCATTCTATTATTTATTCACATTTCCCCCAGAGGAGAGCGTATTGACAGTCTGAGAAAAGCAGTGACATAAACATTTTTTCCCAAATAAACTTTTAAAAATTGACAAATTCCCATTTTTTTCCAATTTTTCCTATTATATTGATGATCTCATTGGCCTAAATCCCCAGAGGTGAAATTGTTAGGTAAAGGACATGCCTGTTTTTAAGATTCTGGGGACATATTATCAAATTGCTTTCCAGAAAGATAAGTCTCCCCCAGAGTAAGCTACTGCAGATTTCCCCACACTCTTCGTCAACATTGAGTAACATCAGTGCATTTTTTGTCAGTCTAAGTACAAACATATTTTAAAACTTGTATTTCTTGAGTTTCTAATAAGTGTGATTTTTTTCCCATTCCTTGGCTTTTAAATTTAGATTTTATTTTTATCAGAGCTATACTTGGTTTAAAGATTCAGCAGTCTGTAGGACTTATTTTGAAAAATAGCTGACTTCCATACTCCTCCCTCCCCACAGCCCACCTCACAGAAGTAACCACCTTTCTCTCCCAGGCTGATTCGTTTTCTGTTTTCTTCCATAGTAGTGCTAGAGAGCAAGCCTGGATTGCCACTTCCCGCTTCCACAGTCGCAGGCAGTATGTGTTGGTTTCCTGCTGTGGAGGGCGAAGATGTGCTTTTCTTCCCCACACCTAACCTCTTCTGTACGCATGCACATCCCCTTCGGTCTCGGGGAGTTGACTCCTTTCATCACCTTTCTTGGGTCTAACCCCACCCTTCCCTCTCCTCAGGAGCCACCATTTGCTGGGCCTTTGAGGGAGGGGGTTTGAAGAATCCCTGTAGAGTCACTTTAGTGTTTCCAGAGGAATGAATATGAAAGTGTGTTGTGCCTGCCATCTTTCACTGCACGTCCTTTCCTGTGTCTTTATTATTATTTTTCTTTCTTGTGTCTTTAGCGGTCATTTTTATAAAATTATCCTTAAAATTACGGGCTATGGAGTCATGACTGTCTGGATTTGAGTCCCAGTTTTGCTCTTTAGTAGTTTTGTGACCTTAGACAGTGGGCTAAATCTCCAGGCCTCATATGCTACCTATGGTAGGGTGTCGTGGTGAGACATAAACGGGATGAGGGATGTAAAGAGCTTTTCACAGTACCTGCTGCCAGGCAATATCGTCCTGTCTGCCAGGGAGTTAGTGAGAACACAGATGTGGTTGTGGCTGTTATTGTTACTCTTGGGAATTTCTTGCTCATGGCCATTGCCCACATTTCCAGTGGAGTGCTTGTGTTTTTCTTCGTGATAAGAGGTACCTTTGATATAGCCTGTCCCTGGTCTTTTGTTTTTCTTTATGGTACTTGGGGTGTGTCATCATATGCATGCTATTTCATGTCGTGATCTCTACCACTCTTACCAGATTTGTATTTTTCAGGGATACCTGGTGGTGGTAAGAAAGAAGGGTATGTGTGCAGCAGAATTGGAGATTAGCATAGTAATTGAGGCATTTGGTGAGGGAGGACCTCAGGGACCCAATGAAGGAGTGATTATTTTCATCATGTAGGAGAAATAATTTTTCTAACTCCTGAAGTGTATCTTAACACTGTTTATTTTGTGGACAGATTACCTCAATATGTAAAAGCATTCTTGAATGTTCTTCTCATCATATACCCAGATGGGTTTCATCTGAAAACTTTGAGCTTTCGGTTTGTTTCAACTTCAACACTTGTTTCTCCGAAATTAGATCCAAAATTGATTCTTGAGGGATAAGATTTATCATCTCCTCTAAGTTAATGCCATGTTAATAAATTTACTTTCTTTTGAATATCATATATACTACTGAAATGGTAGATATGTTGATATTTCAAAGCCGTAGTTATAGATAATTAACTCAGCCTTTTAAGTTTATTTGATTTGGCTAGTTTGTCCTTTTAGGCAATATTGATTTATTGTTTATTTTTTTGTTTTACCTTAGGTTTATAATTAATTAACTTTATGGTTTTTTAAATAACAGTTCATCTAAACTCGTTCTCTCCACAGATTCGGACCAGGATGTAGCCCTCAAACTTGCCCAGGAGCGAGCCGAAATAGTTGCTAAATATGACAGAGTAAGTATTCAGATTTACTCTTTGAGTCTGTTTTATCAGAAAAAACATATAAATAGAAATGGATTTGTTTTTTGGAGAGCTTGAATTACAGAAGCAGTTTATTTATTTCATGTGACCTTTGAAGTCATCTTTATTCTCTCTTCTTCCCTCTGCTCCAACCACCCTGGTCTCTTGCTGTTCTCCCTACACACTGAGCTTTGCGCTGGCCGTTTTTTCTGCCCAGAACGTTGTATCCTAGATAGTCTCAGACCTCATTGTCTCACCTTTTTCCGATCTTTATCCAGATGCTACCTTCTTAGTGAGATCTTCTCTGACCACACTGTGTAATAGCAAATACCCCCTCCTTCCCCGGCTCTCTGGGTCCCTGTTCTCTCCTTTCTCTTTCACCACAGCACTTATGTCAGCATACTTTATATTACGCTTACTTTGTTTTTCGTCTACTCTCACTCCTAGAATGTAAATGGAGGGTAAGAATACCTTTTGTTTGATTTACTCTTATATTCTGAATATCTAGAATAGTTTCTGACTCAGGCTAGGTATTCAATAAATATTTGAATATGTTAGTATATAAAATTAAATACCCATTTTATTTATAATTTATATGTGGTATTAAAATTTTAACACGGATCTGAAAATTTGAACTTATACATTATATATAATCTCCATTAGCATTTTATCTCTTTGTTAGTTATGAAATCTGGTTTTTGATGCTTTAGAAAATTACAGTTGTTGACAGTTCACATGTCTCCTCATTATTACTTTACCTCTTGAGGTCTGTAATGGGTTGTAGGCAGTGATTTATAAATGTCATGTTTTATATTTATATCACTTGCATGTAATTTCATATCTGTTGCTTTTGATTATTTGTGAGAATAACAGGAGCATCAAATTATAGAAAGTCATCTGGACTGTGCCCTGCCCCCAGGGAGGCATACAGGCGGTGCTCAACTTAACAGCTATGTTCCCGGAGTTCGTTTTTAAATTGGTTGTTTGGAACAACCTGACACAAATTCCCAGTATTGTGAATAGATTTTAGTGTGATCTATGAAAAACCTAATTAATTTATTTAACTGCTTAACTAACTTAAAATCAGTAGAAATGTCATTCATTCATGTTTGTATGAATTTTTTTTCCATGCAGTTAACACTTAGTGACTGGGCTAGCCGTTGTACAGTCATTGATAAAATACATGCAGATGGAGGGGTCCACAAGACAGTTGGGTATGAGTCTGAAATGTGATGGGTTGGTGTAGACATTTGGGGTTCCTACTAATCACTGCTAGTTCACGGCCTCAGAAGTACAATGAGAAGAGCAGTGGTCTGAGGGCAGGGCTCTGGGCACACTGAGAGGGATCTGTGAAGACCCATCAAAAGAAGAGTTGGATGGTATGGGGAGAGCCAAGAGAGGCTGGTGTCATGGAGCTTGAGGCATGGGGAATGTGCAACACTGACGGGCACACCGAGCAGAGTCCTCTAGATAAGAACCGAGCAGTGTCCACTGGATTGGACAATGGAAGATCATTTTTGACCTTGGCAAGAATCATGTCCAGGCTGATGTAGCTATGAAGTAGAGAGACAAGGTGGATAGCTTACTGTTCTGAGAAGTTTGGATGAGAAGGCATGAAAGAGTTTTTTTCCAAGACAGGTTGATTCAAAAACATTGAAGTTTGGCAGTTCCTTCCCGAGTGGCTTTCTTGCCCTTCGTTGCTCCCACGTCCCCAGTTGGCTTCTCACAGGAACCCAGGTCTGATAAATCAGGGCTTAGCTGCATGTCAGTTCTTGCTGACATATGGGACCTTCTGAAGCCTGTACCCAGGAAATGGTGATTCTATTACCAAAAGTCGTTTTTTTAAAAAGTTAATTTAGGGTGATAATGCCTGATTTCTAGCTCCTTATAAAAAATAACTCTTGTGGCTTTTTTATTCTGAATAATTATTCAGTTTTATAAATTCCCAGTCATATCCTTCTTTGTTCCCTATTACAGGGACGAGAAGGTGCAGAGATTGAACCTTGGGAGGATGCTGATTACCTTGTTTACAAAGTCACGGACAGATTTGGCTTTTTACAGTAAGTTGTATCGATTGAAAGTTAACTTTTTATTATGATGTTTCTATGGTGACCCATTATATTGATTTTCTTTATTTTTAATAGCCCTGCTATGAAGGAGATGCCCGGACTGGTCCTGCAGTGTGCTTTTTGTTATTAAATTCCTAGCATTTTTAACCTCTATGATTAAAATTGAACTACAGTTAAGAATACAATTTTTAATATTTGTTGTATTTTAGTAGGGACATAAAGTGCAATAAATGAGTTGTATCAATAATTTAGCAGAATTAAATGGAAATGAATAACACTTTGTATTTCAGAAATAATTACAAAACATTTCATTTTATGTAAATGCGTTTTAAAAATAATTAGCAATTAGAACTTTAGTGTTATGCAGCCTAAATATGAGCAATGAAAAGCACTGCTGTTGATCTTTCCTATAGTTATAAATGTCTCCATGTTATTGCTTCTCAAAATTAATTCCATTTATCCTGAGTATGTTATGTAAAGAGTTGAGGGAGGTCTAGACTACTATAAAGTAAAGTGGCTGAAGTGGTGTTGACTCTTGGAAACATCTCGCTCGTGACGAGCATCTGCCCGCTCTGGTTCTGGCATTGTTTAGGCGGATTCCCACAGGCTGGAGACTCCTCATCATCTCTACAGTTTGTTTGGTTCCATCCAATTTAGTGATTAATTTCTCGTTCAAATTTATTTTTTTCCCACTCTGATTTATTATAAAGTATAAATTGAAAAGGGTTTTTCAATTTATGATACATGATTACATTTTGGAGAAAAAATGTAATTTCGTGATAGTTCATAGCAGCAACTTGTAGTACTCAGACTTTGTTTTCTCCTTCTGTTGAGTTTTGTTGCATTTAGGAAGTATTTTTTTGTATCATGTTTTTCTTTGGGTTGAACAAGCAAACAAATTAACAGAAACAGTTCTGGGAGTTGGAGAATGCCCTTTCTTGTGGCTTTGCTGCTCTCAGATAACACTTTAGTGCCTCATCTATAAAGCAGAATCAGTTACTGCTCTGCGTACCTAGAGTATAGTTGAAGCTTTGAAGAAGTGAAACGATAGAGTACTATATAAAGGTGTGGACAAATTTAAGGTGTTATTATTATACCTAATGACATTAGCATAACCAGAGTGTTCTCCTGAGTAGTTATAATTAGAAGACTCAGAACTTCAACAGACCGACAGAGCAATGTTTAACTATGATGAAATACTGTTCTCAAATTAAACCCCCACTTCCACTTTTTTTTTTTTTTTTTTAATAAATCAAACTTAGCCACAAATGTGTCAGGAAATGATTGCATGTTTGTGTGGGTTAGTGTGCAGAACCGAGGTATGTGACTGAAGGATAATTTGCACATTTAGCCCTGTCAGGATCAGTAGGTCCCAAAATTGCCTGCACGTTAGAATCAGCTGGGAATTAAAAATAAATAAATTTCTGGACTCTATCCCAGATTTTGATTCAGAAGGTGAAATATAACTCACCTGATTTTGACCTCCTTTGTATATTTGGTATATTGTATATACAGTATATTGGAAGTGAACCACTAGAAGAGATGTTTGTATCATAAAATGGTCTAATGTAATACTACATATGAAAGAAACTGCATTCCAAAAGGATCTAATAATTACCTAAAACCTCATTTCTCATTGCTTGAAACAACATGTTTAGTCAATCAATAATTTATCTTAATAATATTAGCCACTGGGGCGCCTGGGTGGCGCAGTCGGTTAAGCGTCCGACTCCAGCCAGGTCACGATCTCACGGTCTGTGAGTTCGAGCCCCGCGTCAGGCTCTGGGCTGATGGCTCAGAGCCTGGAGCCTGTTTCCGATTCTGTGTCTCCCTCTCTCTCTGCCCCTCCCCCGTTCATGCTCTGTCTCTCTCTGTCCCAAAAATAAATAAACGTTGAAAAAAAATTTTTTTAAATAAAAAAAAAATAATAATAATATTAGCCAGTATTCATCGAGCACTTACTGTGTGCCAGGCACTGTTCTAAGCCTTTTACATGGATAACTCTTTGATTCCTCTCAAAAACTCCTTGGGATAGGCGCTCTTATTTATCCTTTTTTTAGATGAAACTGAAGCAGAAAGAAGTCGGGCAACTGGCCCACGTTGTGTTGACAGTAGGTGTCCGATGAGGGATGTAGTTTTGCAGCAGGGCCTGTCTTCCGGATTGTGCATCACCACCCTCCTGTGTGTTCAGTAAGAGAAACACAGAAGTGCCTTGAGATGCCTAGAAAGAAAATCGAAAGGGGAAAAGGAGGGCCTAAAGAGGACACCGTTGAAAGCGACTGCTTGTGTGAAGGTATAGTTGGATAGCTCAGTTCACCACTCCTCGGAAAATGAAGCCAACTGGCACCGGTTCTCATATGATCACGCTCACTTTTTAAATTTATACTGTGATGCAGTTTTGAAGCATCCGGCGCAAATGAAAATAATGAAGCATAGAAATGGATTTTAGTGTAATGTTAGGCTTCATTAAATTTCACCAAAGTCATAGATTTTTTTGTTACAACGCCTAATTTAAGTAAGACGCTTTCTCTAGAGGTTGCTGCTGGTGCCTTTCATTGCTTATCACTGTAGCCTGAAGAAGTGTTTTTGCACTATTGAATAAAGTCCCTTGGTCTAGGCATTTAGACACTGCGTTCTGTCACACCTTGATCAAAGAGCATTTCTTTCTGCTGTTTTAGTTCTTTGCAATTTTGATTGGTTCTGCGGTGAATTCAGGTTGTAAGTGTCAGTGTCAATACAGTACAATAGCCAGAAGTCACTTTGTAATCTTCTTTGAAGGCTGCTGACTTCGTATCTAATTACAGTTTTAGTGACTTAAATTACTTGCTATGATATGTGAAGAAGGCATGTATTTGTATTCACAAATACAGTATAGGACTAACGTGGTTTTATAATAGATTTCACAATAAATATAAAAACTGTTGCCAAACCAGCCTGGCTCGATGCTGCAACAGGAAGGTCTTTGTTTAGTATTCAGAGATGGGGGTTAGCCCCGGTCCGCGTCCCTGCGACAGGGTTACTTACATCCGGAGAATGGAGAAATCAAGCTTAGTGAAGAGTTAGAGAACTTGCAACATTTGTATCAAAAGTAGTCACCACTTGTCTGTTTAGTGAAGAATGCTTGGAATTTGGACATGATAGATCGAGCTTTTAGGTCATAAGTTATTTATAGAATTAGAAGGAAATCGTATCAAAAATAAAGATAAAATTAATGTGAAGCTTTAGATTTTTAACTAATCAAAATGTGTATATAAAGTTTAGCAGATTGTCTGTAGTTTACTATGACTACATAAATATTTGGAAACCAAAATAAAGGTGTTTTTGTTTTCATAGGACATCTGTTTTGATGACAAGAGCTTGAGAACTTTTCTACCCGACCGATCCTTTTGATTAGAGTTAAATCTAAATTTAGACAAAATTTACTTCAAAACAAAATTTAGTCAATATATTTAACTTACAGATTTTAACAAGTGTTAAGTTGCCAAATGAAAGTTTATCTCACAGAAATATGCCAAAAATTACAGTCACATACACTCTCGTTAATAATTCTTTTAAGTTTAAAACAGATGAAAATAGATGCAGTTAAGGCCCCTCTCTTTCCAGGGATGACTGTGTTGTTTTTATTTGCTGTGTTTCTATGAGGCATAGCTTCTTGCTGTCAGCTTGGTGTTTTCTTTAAGCAACTTCTGTGTGTCTCATTCATAGAGGACAGACCTTTGTTTTGCTTTGTTTTTAAGTTTGTCTACTTATTTTGAGAGAGGGGGAGAGAGAGCACAGGCGAGCAGGGGAGGGGCAGATGGAAAGGGAGAGAATTCCAAGCAGGTTACACCCTCTGCGCCCACCGAGATGCGGGGTTCAGTCCCACAGCTGTGAGATCATGACCTGAGCTGATATCAAGAGTCAGACGCTCAACTGACTGAGCCAACTAGGTGCCCCCAAACCTTTGTTTTTTAAAGTAGGGGTAGGCAAACATTTTCTGTGAGGAGCCAGATAGTAAATATTTTTGGCTTTGTGGACCGCATGATCTTTGTCATAACTATTCAACTCTACTGTCGTGGCATGAAAACAACCTCAGACAACACATGACTGAGCGTGGCGGTGTTCCGTTGAACCTTTCTTTACTCACAAGAGCAGGCCGTGGACCAGATTTGATCCTGGGGCTGTAGTTTGCTAACTGAAGGAATACTCTGCACTCATGCAGATTTTGGTCTTTCTTTTACTTGATGGATATTTAGGTGCCAGATAAAGATGCACAGATGCATGCAGCATGGGGTCACCGTTTTTTCGTACACTGACTCAGCAACGTGTAGTGTACTCCTTCCTCACACCTGCCAGCTGCTGTGCCTGAGGCTGGTGCTGTGACTCACATCTGTATCCTAGACATTGTGTGTAGCTTTCGGTTCGGCAGCAATCCCCTCCTTGCTTTTTCCTTGGAAGGCTGTGAAAATTAATGCTTGCCGTCACAGAGATTTGAAGAGGAAAAGTTCTGTGGAGATCAGTGCTGTGCACACAGCAGATTTCATATAAAAAGTGTCAGGTACGGAGTAATAGTGCAGGAAAATCCATTGTAGGAAAACTTGACCACATTCTTGCTCTTTCGTCCATCTAAGGAGTTTCAAGACTGTTTTCACAATTCAACATACAGCAGGTATGGGGTGAATGGACCTCATCATAAATAAAGCCACATATGACAAACCCACAGCTAACATCATACCCGGTGGTTAGAAGCTGAGGCTTTTCCTGCAGAAACAAGACAGAGATGCCCACTTTTGCCACTTTTATTCACATAGTACTGGAAGTTCTAGTCAGCACAGTTAGACAAGAAAGAGAAATAAAAGGCATCCAAACTGGAACAGAAGAAGTAAAGCTATCTCTTTTTGCAGATGATAGGATCTTATATATAGAAAACCTGAGACTCCACCAAAGAATTGTTGAAACTGATAAGTGAATTCAGTAAAGTTGCAGGATACAAAATCAATATATAAATTAGT